AACGGATTGGGAAACCCCTTTTCGGCCTCATGCTGCAATGCATTGGAGGGTGGCCCAACCGTGCAGTAGCCCTGATGTTCCCCAGATGCAGAAGGCGGGAGCACTGGTGACGGAGACTGTGGAGTATGAACCAGTACAAAACACACAGAGCATCAACATCTTGGATGAACCCAAGATGGAAGATGAGCTCAGTGAGACATTTGCTCACCTGAGTGCCGGTGTGGAGAGGTCGATCACAGGCCGAATCGATGGTATGGGTGTTAAATCGGAGATTGTGCGGAAGAAATTGGTGGTCAACAACCCGGAGAACGTTGTCTGGACGGGCAAGAGGGCGGCCTTTTGGAACCGGGTCCAACAATGGGTCAAACAAGGCAGACATCATGGCGATGCACATCCGGTGGCGCGTCTGGTCCAACGCAGGCTCGGCGAGTATTACGAGGGTGATGCGCAGAACCAGGAGGATATGCTTGCGAGTATCCTGGGCCGGGGTACGGACGCTAGGCTTGTTCTGAAGCGCATCGACGAACAGCAATGCTACGCGAGAAAGGCGGATATGGAGGAGACAGCCCACCAGTACAAGCAATGGCTCAGTAAGGCCATGGAAAAGGGCATGCGACCACTATACAATGCCTTGCGAAAAGAAGAACAAGTGGTACAAAGACCCTACATGGAATATGACATGCTGGAACGGCCACACATTCGCCGAGACCACTGGGCGGCAGTGTGGACGACGGGCCAACCGTTGGCAAAATCGGCCTCGCTCATGACGGAGCTTGAGGATGCAGCCAAAAAACAAGCGGCCAGCGTGGTGCCGCTGAACCCTGTCGAGGTTAAGGCAAGGATCAAAAAACTGGCACTAAAGAGCCCGGGGCCGGATGGCTGGAGGATTGACCATTTGCAGGCCATGGACGATAAAGCAGTTGAAGCCGTTGTGTCCTTCTACCATGAATGTGAGGCCAAGGCAGCATGGCCGCAGCAAATGACAGTCTCCCTTATAGCAATGCTGCCGAAGAATCTGACCCGGGAAAGACCAATCGCCTTGCTACACATCCTGTACAGGACTTGGGTCCGCCTGCGATGGGATTTGGTAAGTACTTGGCAGGCAGGCTATGCCACAGCTGCCACGTACGACAAGGCAGTCCCAGGCAGTTGCTGCTTGGACGTGGCCGTCGGCAGACTACTGCGAAATGAGGTGGCAAAGACAAATGGCGTGCATGTGGTGTCACTCTTTGTGGACCTCGAGTCCTTTTTCGATACCATCCAATTTCAGCAATTGATCATGGCAGCAACGGCCCTGCAATATCCGCCGCTAATCCTGAAGATGGCACTGGAAGTGTACATGGGTGCCAGATACTTGGTGGCGGATGGGGTGCTATCGGCAGGCATCAGAGCTACAAATGGCGTGCAAGCGGGTTGCCCAGCGGCGCCATCGTTAGCAAAGGTGGCATTGCACCCGGTGATAGACAAGATCCAAAGGCGACGAGATGTGGCAAACGTGGACTGTTGGTTGGATGATGTCTCAATTGACATCCAGCATAAGTCCTTTAAACACGTGGCGGATAGTGCCATACGAGTCTACCGCAGCTTAAAGGACGGGATGGATGCTAATGGTTTCACGATTTCATCCAAGAAGACAGGGTTTGTGGCCAGCAGTACCCAGGCGAGCAAGCACCTGCGAGAACTCCTGCAGCCACATGAGCCACAGGTGTACGACGTGATGCGTGACCTGGGCGTCGATAGTACAGGGGGGCGAAAGCGTCGCTTGGTGACGTCGGCAACGCGGGCCAAGAAAGCCCGTGCGAGACATAGCAAACTGTCTAGGCTGGGACCGCCGCCCAGCACTAAACTCCGCGTGGTCAAGGCAGCGATCACATCAGTTGCTTTGTGGGGGCACCCCTCTGTGGGGGTTTCACCCAAAAGAATGAAATGGCTCCGAACAGTGGTAGGAAAACACCTGGGTAAATACAAGCTTGGGAGTTTGGAAACCATCTTGGACATGGGAGCCAAGAAATGCCAAGATCCAAAGCGCACAATCCACAAGCAGCATTTCAAAGTGGTGGCCAAAGTTTTCCGTGCATGGATCGGTGGTGGAAAAGCCCACTTTGACTTGGCCTGGAAAACCACTTGGAAGAGGTTGAGTGCGGCCAAACACCACTGGCCACTGGTCACGGGGCCGATGGCTGCAACCATGGCGTACTTACTGGATCTGAAGGTAGATGCCAGTGACCCAGGCAAATGGAAGAGAGGTAGTGTCCTCAACGTTGATTGGACCCAGCCACGCATGGGTAGCCTCGCCTACAAATGGCTTGAGGGATTCCTGGAGGAACAGAAGCGGGCTGCGATAGCGCGACAGGCAGGTGGCGCTGGTGCCCAAGAGGGGTTGGATTGGACGCCGCATCACAAGTTGACGAAGCTGGGAGGCCTAAGCCCAGGCCTTATGGAAGGTATAAAGTCAGTGTGGCATGCGGGCGTCATCACGGAGTCCAAGCCAGGATGGTGCAGGAAGTGCCAAATGCCAGCAACTCTGGAGCATGTCCTCAAAGAATGTCCTTACTGGCGTGAACAAGGGTTCAAAGAACCCAAGCTCCAGGAATACTTGCGTCACAAATACCCATGGGAGTGTCTATGGACAAGGGCACTCCTGCCAAAGCCGGCGGTGTGGCACCCGAAGCCGCCGGAACACCTTTTAGGTCTCCGTTACCAAGGATGCTTTGCAGCAGATGCAAAAGTGGAAGCGGAAGGCTTGATCTTCGCCACTGACGCAAGTGGAGGTCCAGGAGGAATAGACCCACGTGTACAAACATCAGCCCTCGCAGTGGTGGCTATGTCCTGGACAAAAGGTGTCCTGGTGGAAGCCGGACGGATTACAGAGCTGGTCTACCCGTGGCAGCCGGTGGTGGACATGGAGCGCCGTGCACTTTTCCGACTAATGGAGCACACGGAGGATCTGATTGATGTCACTATGGATTGCAAGCCGGCAGTCCAAGTGCTACAAAAAACACAACCGCCGGAGGATGACCTGGAATGGAGCAAAGTGTGGAATGACAGGAAACGTATCAAGGCAACCTGGGTCCCGTCCCACAAAACTGAAGAGGAATTCCTGGCGAAGATGGGGCCGGGCACGTTGTGGCGACGTGCAGCGAATGACATGGCAGACAAAGTATGTGGTGCAGTAGCGGCGGCTGCTTACAGCCCAGCGCACAAGAGGCGTGTCAAAGAGTTGGACAATGTGGTGCGCACACTTTCCCTGGCGTACGGTGCACGCGCAGCCCACATACTGAGGAAGCGCAAAGAAGAAGACTTCCCCTTCATTCTGGACCATGCGCATTACAAAGAGAAGATGGAGGCCTCGCAGAAAGCTGAGGGATGCAAAAAAGCGCAGGGCAACGCCAAGCTCAACAAACGCCAGCGGCTATGGCAGTTGCTTAAAGACCCGGAGCGCGGGCATCAATGGGAGAAGGGCAGCGAACACCCCCGGAATTTAACACTGAAATGTCAACTGTGCGGGTTGTATGTACAACAAACCCTCACGAACTTGGAGGTGGTCTTGGAACAGTACTGCGTCAACCAGCCGGAGGCGCGAGTGCGTGAAGAGTGGGGTATCCACCCCTCCCACAATATGGTGAATTTGGGAATCCGTTGGGTTTGCACAAAGTGTGACCGAACACATGCACCGGTCAGCCAGAAGTGCAATAAAAGCCTGGCGGGGGAGTGCAAATCGCGGACTTCTCAGGGCAAGCTGGCTACCCAAGCGCAAACCCTTGTCAATGGTGGAAGTATGAGCAACGTCCAGTTTCAACAGCCTCGCGTTCAGTTTGGTGGGAAACACGCCAAAGCTAAGCCCCAAGCCAGCGCACAGCAGAAGATGTCATTGTTTGTTAGGCCTCGCCAAGCTGAGGGGACGCAGTAAATCCGCAGCCGTTTGGTGCAAGGAGACAGGGTTTCGGCCTCGTAGCTGAGGGTGAGGGCCTCGCAACGGGGAATTGCGATTGGTGTTTACGGCCTCGCTTTGCTGAGGGAGTGCAGCTCGGCCTCGCGGTGCCGTGTGCTTGCGACACCGCTGAGGGAAAGAGAGGAGGCCTCGGCCTCGCGGAGCTGAGGGTGGATGAGAAGACAAGGGTCCCGATTGCCATCCTGGTTAAGGAATCGGCCGGACAAAGGCAAGGGCAAAAGCAAGAACAAGCAGAAGGACCCGCCCCGAGGGCGTTCCCCGCTTCGACAGGCCAGACACCCGGAGCAGCCTTGGGATAGGGAAGAGGAGAGTGCTTCGGAATCTCCGGTGGGTCCGGTACGCCTACGGGAGAGAGGAGAAGACAGAGCGGCCTCGCACCAAGCTGAGGGTGTCAATACAGAGCAAGAGGCAAGCGAGCCTCGTACAGTCACGCTGGCGGAAGGGCCAGGTGCCCACAATATGGCCTCGCAGGAAGCTGAGGGAAAGGAGAAAAAGGAAGACATGGGGCAAGCCAAGCCTGTGCACCTTTTGGTGCACAAACTGCAGAACCAGCAAAGGCCAAGGACTGCGCTCCATTGGCTTGGGGAGGTCCAATAGTCAGGGAAGGCCTTGCCCAGTTTGGGTAGTTACATCACCGTCAACCAAATACTATCCCATTATGTCCCCAAACACATTACCACATAGAATTTACCCTAATATAGCCAAATAAATCAGAACTAGTAGCCTATTATCCTTAAAATACTCTATCTCATCCTATTTATCAGGTGCTGTAACATCCCGAAATGGGCAAGGTTAGGTTTATTCAATTTATGGGGCATAGTATGGGGCGTGGGGTTTATTCAATGAGCCACTGGAGTGGCGCTACATCAACGAAGGCGACTTCGAGACGGCGCGCCCTGCGTGATTTTGAATCTCAGCTTTGTTGTGCAAGTGAGGGCGCCCGAGTGTATACAATCAGATGCAACAAAGCATGAGCAACTTGTTTTCATTCAGCCATTTTGGCTGATTCTGAGCATCCCTGGCTTTGCACTTGTAGACTTCTGATCTCATGGAATCGTCTGCGCGTCGGTGGCAATCCAACGAAGCTCACACCCTTCTGCGCGTCTTTAACGCTTGGAAGAATCGTGCGATGCCCAAAGAGCTTCGTGACTACGACATCTTGGAGGCACAGAACCTAGCTCTCAGTCTTGCCATAAAGCGGTACGAGAACTACCGTCCCGTGGCAGGTTGTGTACCCTACTATATTCGCAGACAAGATGTTGAAGAGGCTTACTTCCGCAAGTACTTGTGGCAGGGTCCTCGTCCTTCTTTCAGTGACGAAGTTTGGAAACGAGTCGAGGATGCTTGGACTCGTGCGAACCAAGAAGCCTACAGCCTTTGCTATGATGACTTCGGAAGCTATGTCCAAAAGCTGTTGCATCCCATCCTTGGCTACCCCGTGCAGGTCGTTTGGAATTGGGCTTCACGTGCAGCGTGCAAGTTGGTTGACTTACGCATCCGTGTCAGTGAGAACAGCCCCGCGCACAAAATCACTTACGGCATCGTCAAACGGGCATTATGGGAACATCATCGCTGTCTTGACTACGATTCGCTTCACCTCGGGCAGTTCCACTCCGGCGACGAGACAAGATGGGAGCGGTTTGAGCTACACGAGGGGGATGCTACAATCATTGGTGAACTTCTTCAAGTTGAAAATGTTCTTGAAGCCAATTACTTTCCAGGACACCGGTGACACCGATTACATCACCTTCAGATTCTGGAGGAATCTGAAGGTGACGTGTATCTACGATTGTGCCAGTTGAGCATTTGAAGCTTGAGCAGCGGCTTTAAGATTTGCAAGGAAGCCGGGATGCCTGTGCATATGTACAAAGTACTCCAACGAACATGACGGCATTGTTAAAGACATTGGCTTTTTTTCTCGTTTGGAGTTGTGTCGGGACGCTGATTTTGTGTGCTTCCTGAGGTAGCACATATGAGGAATCCGGCGGGCAATCAGGGACACTGGACCCAGCCTTACTCACAACGAGTTTTTCACGCTTGATTCGTTCATCGCAGGATGATTTCGCGCAAGTTCGCTGCAACGCCATGTAGAGGGTTCGGTGCAACGAAGAGGATTCGGTGCAACGAAGCCATGCAGTACTAATTCGCTGATGAACGTGAAGCCCTAGGGAGAGGCTTTTACGTCTTGCACGCCTCAAGCTCGGCCTCAAGCTCGCCGAGCTGGCTTTTGCTTAGAATGACCTGAAGGAGAGGAGGACCGCAATGTCTCCGCAAGAGCTTCCGTGGAAAGGAAAGTGCATAGAAGTGTGAAATAATGCCTTTTGGTACAGGCCGAGCCCGCACACCCCACAGGCAGAGCCCGCGCACCGCACAGGCAGAGCCCGCACGCTGCACGTACAAGCCCCGCACGCCGCACAGACAGAGCCTGCGCAATTCCAGAGGTCACATGTTGCGCCACCAAAGGCAGTGGAAAACGCACAGATGCATCAATCCAAACACGTTGCCAAACTACGGCATGGCCGAAAAAATATAGTGAACCGTGCGATTGTGCGGTTTGGGGGTGTATCGTGAATCCGAAGCCCGTAACACATATACCCTAACCCCCTAAGACTACATTCTAAACTGTACGTGCCAGGTCAGCGTCTTCACCAACGACCCTTTCCACGGCGACTTCGGGAAGGTTCGTCCCTTTTTAGGGTTTAGGGGTTTAGGATTTAGGGTTTACTCTTAGGGTGTAGTTTGGTTTTTTAAGTTTCCCACTTCGGGAAAAGGATTGGCACTGAGTGTCATGGGGGAATCCGACTGCTTAACAAAGCATTGCGAAGGCCTCAGAAGGCGCTTGGAGTTTTAGGGTTACTCTTAGGGTTCAGGATTCCCTTTTAGGGTTTAGGATTTTAATTAGGTTGGGTTTTTAGGTTTCCCCCTAAATCCCTATGAAAACCCTAAGGCGTCTGGCTCAAAAGTTTTATAAAACAAGAAAACAATCAAAAATCAACATAAAAAAACTAAGGTACTGAAGATTTAGGGGTATGAAAAGATACAAAACACAAACAACATGAATATTTTCATAGCATTTGCTTAGTATTTTTACTCTAGTGAACCAAAAAACAAGAAAACAATCAAAAATCAACATAAAAGGAACTAAGGTACTGAAGATTTGGGGTTTAGGGAATACAAATAACAAATAATATTAATGTTTTAATATTATTTGCTTAGTAGTTTTATGTTAATATATTAAGTTGCTATTTCGTTAAGTGTGTTTTTTAAGAAACCGTTAACAACTCATGTCGCAAGTATGACCTATTCTCATCGTCCAAATGATAATATTTTTGTCCTAGTTTCTTCTCAATCTTAGTGACTTTATGGATTGTTTTATTCCAGTGTGATGTATGTTCTTTCTCGCTTATACCTTTCTTTCTCATTATCTTGACGCTGTCGCCTTCGTCTATCTCAGGGTATGTTCTGCTACGCTTTGCCTTTATGCTTAAAATCAGTTTTACTTTCAACTCATTTTTTGGTAAACGTGCATCCCTTGGAGTCAGATTATGGGATGAATGTATATCTTTATTATTGTATGTTAACAGTATTTCAAAGTTATAATCAGTCCATTGAATATTTTCTTTACCTTTTTTCTTATCCGCTTCAACGCGCTTGAATAACTTATCTTTGTAGGTTTTAATGAAGCGTTCGGCAAACGCTGGGTGTCCACGAGTTCTATGAATCTCAATTTTTTCGTCCTCCAGATACTCCATTATGGGTTTACTGTATAAACTGCCTTCCTCATCTGAATATAACATGCGTGGCTTCTTATCCATTTTGTTTAATCCTTCCATGAGACCTGCTAAAACATCTGGTGGCTGTTTGCTTTTTATTGGTATGACAGTTGCATATTTAGTGAATATGTCAATAAGCACTAAACCTATTCTAAACTTTCTTTTGGTTTTCTAAGTCGTTGCTAGATATGAAAAACAAATCAAGTTGAAACTCAAAATACGGATGCGGTGCTACAAAACTATTTTGACCTCTTGGTTTCCTTTTCTCTTCTACATTTTTCTTGAAAAATTCCTCAACATCAGCCATTGTAATCGTTTTGTCTTTGGCCCTTGCATCTTTCAAGGTGCTTTGCCGTGAGCCGAAACCGCTTCTATCAAAATAAATATCATTAATTATTTTTTGCTTTTCGCTCATATAAATAAGTAAGAAAAATAATAATATTTTTACAAAAATTATTATTTCTCTTCTTCTGGCTCTTCCTCAGGAATCACTGTTATCACCTTGCAGTTTTTCATGGTGTATTTAGTTCCTTTCTTTTTATTTGCTAGTGCTTCTGCCTTCTGTTCTGGTGTCAACTTCACGACTGTTATATCTATACCGTTTTCGGCTATGTATTTCTCCATCTTCTTCTTCTCCAGATACCTATCTCTGGAAGCCCTTTTTTTCTCAACATACTCTTTGTCTTCACGTCTTTTATTATAATACAGCCTATTGTACAATGCCAGTTGTTCACGGATTTCCTCTATTGTCATATCTTCAGGTTTTGTCATTTCACTATTATTATATATAAATAATATTTCTTTAAGTGCTTTTTCTTAACACTATAATCTTATTTGATTTTCAATCAGTCTAAAAAAAGTCTTCAGAAAAATATATTTAAAGAAATATTTTTATTATAAAATTAATATATATTGTAATTTATGACCAAAGCTATACAGAGAAATATCACTGCTTTAGAAGCAGTGTACGACAATTACAAAAAACGCTTTAACAAAGCAACCAAGGAAAAAGTCAGAAACATCATAGACTTATATTCTGAACGCAAGATAGCTCAGTTTACAACAGCCGACAATTTAATAAGAAAATTTATCACATCCAAGACACCAAAGGACAAAGAAAAGGCAGAAAAGGAATACAATAAGATTTATGACAAACATAAGGATAAACCCAGTCTAGGCGAAAGAATGGAGGAAACAAAGAAAGAGAACAAGAGAACTGGAAGAACCAACCCTAGAAAAAAACATGACTATTCAATGATAGTGGCGTTTTTTAGATACAAATCGGAATCCAACACACAGAAAACAGCATTTTATGACAAAGCAGGTAAGCCCTTAGTACCATTGTTTATAGGAGAAAGTATAAGGCACACAGCAAGCGTTAACACCACATCGTATGTTGAAAACCTTGTTGGTAGAAAAGTGTTTGGGGAGTACGACAAGAGGCTTTTCATAAAATTACTATTGGACTTACAAAGAGACCCGTCCATATTGGGAGTCATCGGCTTCGTGATAGATTATATAGATTGTGTTAAAGTATATGAAGTTGATAGGGTAGATGGTGATTCAGATTTTAATCCAAATCGTGAAAACCTAAGGGATGCCACGAATGTGAGCATGTATCATAATTATATTCAGACCCCTTTGAATCCAGAGTACGAGACACTAAAGGAAGCCATTAAAGTTGAACATTATCAAGACAACCTGTGTTGGATTAATACTTTAACGGATTATTATAAAAATACCCTTATGGGCGACAAGAAGAGAGAGAAGAACAAACTAACCAGAGAAAGTATTTTAAAACTCATAAATAAAACAGAAGATGATTTTACAACCAACGGGGCTAGCCTTGACGATATGACCAAGGTGTTTGAACATTTTAAGATTCAAGTTAGGGTATATGACGTTTTTAACAATCTGGTGTATCAGTACGACCCAGAGAAGCGAGACCATCACATACCAACACTGTATGCAATTATTAAGAACAACCACATTTACACGGTGAATGATAATTTAAGTTCCTTGAAGCAAATGTTACCAAAGAATTCCAATTATGACATTTACGTGAAGGCTTCGTCGGATTACCATTTAAATGAGAAGTCCACACCAGTTGAGTGTAAAATGATAGCATCTTTGGACGATATCAGAAAACACACAGAGGAAGACCAATATACCCTAATATATGACGGAAATGATTTAACGAAGTTGTTTTATGAATCCAAACAGGCAGGTTATGAACCACAGGTTAAGTTCAGTGGGTGCATCGTGTCTGAGTTGAATTTTCGTTTTTATATCAAGAAAAGACTCATCAAGTACAAGGTCAAAACGCAGAACCTTGTAACAAATTCAATTGATGGTTCTATCTGTGTTAGGACAGAGAATATTTATAATAGAATGTCGAAAGCAATGTACGATTTCAACAAAGCACTGTTTAACCCCTTGCATAAATCCTACTATAACGAGATAGACATGCAAATCTTCCAGGAGTGTAAAACCGTAAACCCAGCAGGTGAGATAAATAAATATTATCATATATATTCTGTACAGCGCGATACCTTTGATAAATACTTTTTTACAACAGAGTCCTGTGTAGAGATAGATGTCCGAAAGGCATTCACACACGCATTTAATCAGATGACCGAGATACCAGTGTTTACGCAATTTGATGTGTGGAAGCCCTACAAGAAGGAATATAAAATAGAATCATTTCACCCACTGACCTTATACTTAGTTAAGAGCAATGGTGAGGCAATGTTTTTCAACAAAACCTATTGCTTAGTATACGGACAGTTTTTAAAGCATTTACCTAAAAAATGCAAAATATTATATTATAAAGAACCTTCTAGAGTTTATAATGTTGACTACAAGAAGATTGTCAATAAACTGTGGGCTACCGAGATATCTGACAGAGCACCAGAGGACATTAGAACCAAAAAGTTAATTGCGAATGTAAACTTCGGTT